AAGAAAGAAAGAAAGAAAGAAAGAAAGAAAGAAAGAAAGAAAGAAAGGAAACTGAAGGCTTTGGCTAAGAACAAGTGGCCCAATAGAAAACTAAGAGATGAAGGAGATTCCTTGATGTTGTCTAGGTAAGACACATTGAGCACAAAGTTACCAAGGAGAAAGTAGTACCTATGCATGTTAAGAGACTTATTGGCATCCTGAAGCCAAAGTTCCATGAATAAAACGCTTGATGAACCCCTTGTTCATAACATTACGTGCATTTAGAATAGTAAATAGGATGACAGATTTTTAAAATAGCTAAAGAAATACTCAGCTAATATTAGCAAAAGTCAGGACCCACTCATCAATGCAGCTTTAGAAAGATGGATGCTTTCTCATCAAAAAGGATGACAGTAACTGAGGGAAGCTGTCAGATCACAAAATAAACAGCTTAAAACTTAACACAGACATTTTTTCTGGGCAAACAGACACGCCTTTACAAAGCTACAGCAAATGCAGATAGTAGGTATGCATCACTAGACCTAACAAATATAACAGAAAGGAGTACATTTACCACCTGGAGTCTTTGAAACAGCAAAGATCCAAGAATGGAAACAAAAGGGTCTCTCAATGGATAATATCTATTTTAATTCAACCAACAATACATCAACAGAGAATCATTAGACAAATGACTGAGACAAGTGAATTTGTTTACAGAAAGGAAAGATTTCATGATAGCACCATGGGATAAGATCACTGCTGCCAGAAACTACAGAAAGATCTTTCTTAAGGAGCTCAGACTTACTGATCAATGCATAATTTCAAGGAAATGATAGAAATGGTACAACATATTACTGTAGGTGGCAAAAAATTTGGATCTATTGAATACTCAAAGAGATATTTATCAAGTAAACAGTTATATAATGTAGGCATGCTATTCTTCAATGAATACGGGACAAATCCCTATCCTACAAATAAGACTCTCTAAATATTCTTGAGAATCTGACAAACAAAATGCACTGAAATGCATTTTATCACAGATAAGATGATTGCTTACAATCACCTGGACACAATATTAGTTCATGTAAATTTAAGAACACTATTTTTCCTAGATGCAACTTGGTATATCCCTATCAAGCACTCATAGCCTCTAAACCACATGCAAAGAAAAGCTGTACAAGTACAGAGACCCAGCAGAAGAAATTAAAAGCATGTAGCCATGGAAATGAAGTGCTGTCATTCCCATAATCTTATCTGTTCTTGGAGTGTCCTGAAAATGCTCTTGTTAACTTTACAGAAGATGAGGCTGCACCCCTATACTTCCATTCAATGATGAACATTAATCATTCCATCTACTTGGACGAGAGTTTGCCAGACACAAAACAAAGAAGAATAATTGAAGGTTATCAGCTTGTCCCAGATCCATCTAAGCTCCATCAAACATAGAGATAATAGGAAGGTGATGTTGATAATTACAGTAATAATGATGGACATTAATATAGGGCTCTAAACTTTGCAAAGCATTTTATTTCTATACATTATTTCACTGGAGTCTAATAATATTCACGTGAAGGAGGCACCAAAGATATCGTTATCCTCGTCTTACACATGAAGAAGCAAAGGTTTGGGAAAGTGAAAGGATTTGCCCAGGGTCCCCCAGCTAGGCAGTGGAGAACCACTGAAGATGTTCAGTGCCTTTTAAGTTAGAAAGGATTCAATAGAAAGAAACAATCTCAGAGATGAGAGGCCTCCTGGGACTTTTTAGACTTCAGCCCCGGATTTAATTATGCAGAGTGCTCTGTGTGAGTTCAGCTGACCAAAGAAACATGAAGGCAGGCTGTCTCTAACGAGGGCATGGGACATTAAGATTAACAGCTCAGATTGTACTCAAGACCCAATACAAGACATAGCTAGGCTAGACTGCTATTATTAATTCACTCTGATAAGATCCTAGAGGGGTAAGGAAGAGATGCAGAGCAAGGTATCAGGGCAGACCCAGACAGATTAGCTGATAGCTTGGTCATTCTAATCTAAACTCAATAAAAAAAAAGTCCAGGGAAAACACAATCTTCCACTTTTATGATTCCCCGAGCACAAATTACCCACTAAAATTATGTTCACCTCACAGCAATTCTATTCTTTGTTTTCCTGACCTTTCTCTGCCTCTGGATGGAAGTTTCAAAAGCAAAAGCCTTGTGATTAAATGCTCCTATCTGACAAAGAACATTGACATACTACCAAATGTCCAGATGACCAGAGCAGCAAGAGGTCGGGAGCACATAGAATACGAGCACTGAGTGAAGAAGCAAGGGATATTTAACCTAGACAATGATCACAACAGTGAAGGTGATAGTAATAGTCATGGTGATGATAATCCAATTTAAAACACCTTGAACATTTGATAACTAATTTGGTAACTGGTTGACCTAAAGCAATGAATCAGTAATGGTTGAATGATAGGAGTTACCATTTATTCAGGTCTTGACATTCATTTACTTACTGAACTGGTGCGCCCAGCATAGAAATAGTTTTAAAAAAATAGAATTCTAGAAACCATAAAAAAATAATAAATCATTTAACCTTCAAAGAAGGAAAATCTCTTTTCCTGGCCATTTCAGGAAGGAAGACCCAAGACAACAATAAGAAGGGACCCCTCTTTACCCTTGGCAAAAGGTATTTTTTTAGCATCCCAGAAGTTTAAAATCTCTCTTTCTCTCTTAGGCAAAACGGGATTGGGGAAAAGAGAAGGGTATCCTAGGCTCAGTCTCTGCCTCTGATGCCTACTACCTGGATGACCTTGTCCAAGTTGGTCACAGTTTCCTCTGTTAAATAAAAAGATGA